AAAAAGGGGCGTGGGCTTTTTTTTTTTTTTTTTTGATAAATGAGTGTTTAAAGACTGACGCTTTTCTCAGCCATTATATGGATAGCCATTGTATGGATGTTTCCCCATTCATCAAGTTCTTCTCTTGACTTATTTTCTTCATTTTTCCACCTAGACTTATGTCTAGATGGGCGGGGTATAAATCTAATAAATAAATAAATAAATAAATAAATTTTCCTTCTTTTAAAAAATGTTTCCTGATACTTGGAAAGCAGAGTCTAAGACATATGGAGCAAGAGGCATTCTGGAAGAATATGAGTTTATTTTATTTTTAACCAAGATTGCAAACCAAAAGTCTTTGGGCTTGTCCAAAACTCTGGCTCAGGAAAAAGAAAGCTTATCGGACGTCTTTAAATTATTGTAGGCCTGGTTCATCAAGCCACGTTCTAATGTAACTTCCGGTTACATTAAATAATGTGACTTTAAAAAGAACATTTTAAATAGTAATTAGACAAAGCATGCAAACCGCTTTCTCTCCAAGCAGACTTTTCTCCAGTAACTGGATGTTTTTAAGTATCAAGTTTTAATATAGTAGAAGTTTACTTACTATTTTCATTAACAGTTTATTGTATTTTTTTTGCTTTTAACATTGTTTGTTCCAGTATTGTAAGCTGACTTGGGTCCTCTTGGGGAGAAAAGTAGAGTGTAAATAATAAAAATTAAATGAATGAGAATTAAAGGATCAACATTCACATCAAGGCTTAACTAGTAGCTATGGCTACTTCCAGCTAATTGAAAAGATGCCTCTGTTGTTCAATGAAGGGCCTGACTAACTGCAACTTACTAGGTGAAAGTAAGCTGCAAGTAGAATAAGTCTACTTGAATCAACAGAACATATATAGATGACTTATCCAATCCCCACTGATTCAATGGGCCAACTTTAGTGCTACAGTGGTGCCTCGCTAGCCAATGATAATCCTTTCCCCTGAAATCGCTGTTTAGCGAAATCATTGTCTAGCAAAAAGCATTTCCCCATTGGAATGCATTGAAACCTGTTTAATGCATTCTAATGGGAAAGAATCGTCGTTGTCTAGCGAAGATCGGCCATAGGAAAGCCGCTTTGTGAACCACCGATCAGCTGTTTAAATCACTGTCTTGCGAAGCTTAGGTCCCGAAAACACCTGTTTTGTGAGCGCGGAGGAAGCTGTCAAAATCGTTGTCTAGCGAAAATCGGTTTGCGAAGCAGGGACCAAACATTGTCCAGCGAAATTCCCCCATAGGAATCACTGTTTTGCGAATCACTATAGTGATCGCAAAAAGTCAATGTCTAGCGAAAAACTGTCATGCGGGGTAAACTGTCTAGCGAGGCACCACTGTAGTTCCTATGGTAAGCAACAGGATTTTTTCCTCTGTTTACCAAAAGGATATTGTTCTGCATTCTTAGCTTTAAAGCTAAGCCAACATGAAAATCTGAGAGCTAGTTTGATGTAGAGGACAGAACAACATCCTCAAGAGACCTGCGTCTGAATCCTTGTTTGGCCACATCTCACGTGCTGTACTCTGAAATCCTTTTACGGTTGTTAAAAGTTTTATGCAACTTCATGGCACATAAATAAGAAATGAAAATGAAATATGTTTCTGGGGCTGATGCCATCCCATTCGTCAAGCACTGCTTCTCAACCATGGGAACCCCAGAAGTTTTTGGACTACAACTCCCAGAAATCCTGGCCAGCACAGCTAGTGAAGGCTTCTGGGAGTTGTAGTCCCAGAACACCTGGGGGACTCAAGATTGGAAACCACTGCTTATAGGGTAATTATGTTTGTTACTCCTTCAAATTAGGTCCTCACCTTGTTATTTTAAGTTGGATTTCTCTGAACTTGCATTTTCTGGATGTCTGTCAATCCAGCAATTCGATTTCTGCCTGGTGCTGGGTAAAATTTATAATTCAGACTGTGCCCTCTGCCTCTCCAGGCACTTAGAAACAAGAAGAGTGATTAAAAGTGGAAAACCCCACCACCAAAATATCCCTGAAAATGCTGCTCTTTTAAATAGAAGCAAGTGGAATTATATTCAGTGATACTTGCATGGCTCTGTGACCTGGGGAGAAGCTACGAGTAGCTTTTCAAAAATCAGAAATATACACAGGGCAACTTTTAACATTATCTCTTGCCAAAACTTTTGACTGTTAAATGCTTTTTTTTAAAAAAGCCTCAATTACTATATAAGTCAAAAATATTTGCTGAAAGAAATTTATTTCAGATAGAAGAGGAAAGAAAGCGAGCCCCCCTGTAACTCCCAGGTTCCTTTCCTTACTCAAAACTCTCTCTCAGAATTGCTTAAGAACAGTGGTTCACAAACCTTGGGTCCCCAGGTGTTTCTGGACTAAAATTCCCAGAAGCCTTCCCCGCCAGCTGTGCTGGCCAGGATTTCTGGGCGTCGTAGTCCAAGAACCACTGCTTTAGAAAACAAGTGTACAAAATGGAATATCCCTCCAAAGATTAGGATGTGGCAAATCTTTATGGACAAAAAATCAGGTGGTGCACTAAGCCACTGGCACAAGGCAATGCCTGACATGGTTCTTTCGACTAAACATAAGCTCTTTGCAAATTAACATCTGTAAAACGTCAATGAAATTTGTAAAAAAAATATATATTAACACACAAAAGCCAAAATTCTATCACTAGTTCCACCCAAGAGCAATCCAACTATCGCTAACCTTACTGACTCAACTGCTGAACTTTAGAATCATAGAATCATGAAGTTGGAAGGGGCCTATGAGGCCATCAAGTCCAACCCCCTACTCATTGCAGGAATACAAATCAAAGGATATCTGCCAGGGGGTTGTCTAAATTTTCCTTGAATGCCTCCGTGTTGGAGCACTTGCCACCTCTTGAGGTCATCGGTTCCATCGCTGTACTGCTCTAATAGTTAGGAAGTTTTTCCTGACATTCCACTGAAATCTGGCTTCCTGTAACTTGAGCCCATTGTTATGGATCCTGCACTCTGCAATGATTGAGGACAGATCCTGTCTCTCCTCTGAATGACAGCCTTTCAAGTCTGTATTTGAAAAGTGCTGTCATCTCTACCCTCAGCCTTCTTCTTCTGGACACAGGACACAGACGGAGGCCTAACCAGTGCCGAAGAGAGGGGAACTAGCATCTTGCGAGATTTGGAAACTACAGTGGTGCCTCGCATAACGAGTGCCCGTAGAGCAATTAAATCGCTTAACGAGGGGCTCTGGGCCATCGCTGGAGCATTCGCTCAGCGATGGCCCCTATGGAGGTTTTTCGCATTGCGATATTCGCTAAGCGATTCGCTTAGCGAATATCACATAACGAAGTGGGTGAGAACAGCTGATCGGCAGTTCCAAAATGGCCGCCGGAAGGTCCCCGCTGCATTTTCGCGCCCTGCCCTCGCTTACCGAGGGCGCGAAAATGGCAGCGCTATGGAAGAACTTCGCACAACGGTGAGTTTTCAAGCCATAGGCTTTTTCAAGCCTATGGCTTTTTTATTTCTGCACAGCGATGTTTCCCATAGCGAGGGTTAATCCGGAAGGTGAGTTTTCAAGCCATAGGAACGCATTGAACAAAGTTCAATGCGTTTCTATGGCTTTTTTATTTCCGCACAGCGATGTTTCCCATAGCGATGTTTCCCTATGCAAGGCACCACTGTATACTTCTTCTGTTAATGCAGCCTAAAATAGCCTTTGCCTTTTTTGTAGCCACGTCACACAGCTGGCTCATATTCAGCTTGTGATCTACAACCATTCCAAGTTCCTTCTCGCTTGTAGTACTGCTGAGCCAGGTATCCCCCACCCTGTAACTGTATGTTTGGTTTATTTTCCCTAGGTGCAGTACCTTACATTTATTAGTCCGGTGCTCAAGCCAATCTAGGACATTTTGAAATTTATTTCCGTGAGTCTGCAAATTGCACTGAGTTAACCGGTCTACTCTTAGTTGGTCCTAGAGGAGACTGACCGAGATAACATGTAACCTCAAGGTTCTTGAGGCACAGCTGTGCCTTAAGAATCGGGGAAAGGATCAGCAGCACGCCTGGAACAGCACCAAGCTGAAGCCACTCGGTTCTTCCTAAAAATACTCTAAGGAGTCCAAGAGAGAGACAAAAAAAATCTATTTTTAAAAAACCAACTGTAATTTTACACTAGAGGCAATCCATGGAGAAGACAGAGTAGATCTCCTTGTGCGTGTCTGGCTCTGCCCCGGCATGAACCTGATGTCTCTTGAGATGCCCTCATGAAAGAAACATCCTCTGTTTGGTTTATTTTTCCCTAGGTGCAGTACCTTACATTTATTAGTCCGGTGCTCAAGCCAATCTAGGACATTTTGAAATTTATTTCCGTGAGTCTGCAAATTGCACTGAGTTAACCGGTCTACTCTTAGTTGGTCCTAGAGGAGACTGACCGAGATAACATGTAACCTCAAGGTTCTTGAGGCACAGCTGTGCCTTAAGAATCGGGGAAAGGATCAGCAGCACGCCTGGAACAGCACCAAGCTGAAGCCACTCGGTTCTTCCTAAAAATACTCTAAGGAGTCCAAGAGAGAGACAAAAAAAATCTATTTTTAAAAAACCAACTGTAATTTTACACTAGAGGCAATCCATGGAGAAGACAGAGTAGATCTCCTTGTGCGTGTCTGGCTCTGCCCCGGCATGAACCTGATGTCTCTTGAGATGCCCTCATGAAAGAAACATCCTCTCATGATACAGACATTATATCACGGATATGGTTATATGGTGGTTCATTCGATGCAAGGTGAGGATTCTCTTCTCAGTAAAACACTGCCCGCACTCTGGGCACCTGTACGGTTTCATCCCTCCGTGAACAATTTGGTGTCTGTTGAGGTTTTGCCTCTGGTTGAAGCTCCTCCCGCACTCCAGGCATATGAACGGCTTCTCTCCGGTATGAACCAAGAGGTGGGAGCGGAGGGTCCCTTTCTGACCGAAGGCCTTCCCACATTCCAGGCATTTATAGCGTTTCTCCTTGGTGTGATTCGTTAGATGCGTGGTGAGGCTTTTCTCCTCGAGGAAGCTTTTCCCACACTCGGCGCATTTATGGGGCTTCTCCACGACGTGCATGACGTGGTGCCGCTTGAGGTAGGACCTCTGACTGAAGGTCTTCCCACATTCCACACATTTGTATGGTTTCTCCCCTGTGTGACTCCTCCGGTGAGCGATAAGGACCGAGTTGTAGCGAAACTCTTTCCCACAGTCCTTGCATTTGTAAGGTTTCAAGCCCGTGTGAAGCAGTTTGTGGGCCGTGAAGCTCGATTTCCGGCTGAAGCTCTTCCCACATTCGTGGCACTCAAAGGGTCGGTCTAAAGCTTGGTGCATATGATGTTCAATAAGGTCCCTCTTCTCCATAAAGCCTTTCCCGCACTCTTGGCATTTATACGGTCTCTCCCCTGTGTGAATCATTTGGTGCCTCTTCAGGTGCGAGCTCTGATTAAAGGTCTTTTCACACTCCAGGCATTTATACGGTTTCTTTCCCGTATGAATGGTTTGGTGGGCCACAAAGTTTCGCTTCTCGATAAAGGCTCTTCCACACTCCAGGCATTTATATGGTTTCTCCCCCATGTGAATGCGCTTGTGTCTGTTGAGGTGCGATCGCTGATTAAAGCTCTTGCCACACTCCTGGCATTTATAGCATTTCTCCTCAGCATCATTCATTTCATCCGTATCAGAGGCTGATCTCTCACTGATGGTCTTTCCATTCCTCAGGCGTTTAAATGACTTCTCTCCTAAACAAGTAAGTAACTATTATTGTGGGTGACTTCAGCAAGAAGAAAAAGGAGACGAGGATCTTTTCATGTATTAACAAGGATTGGGCAACATGTATCCAATCCAGCACTAGGGATGGGATTCTTCAACTTTCTTGAACTACATATGCCATAATTCTCCATTCTGGGGTCTACCTCACTTACAAGCTCCTTACAAATACCTCAGTGTGGCTCACCTGGGAGAAAGGCCTAAATTGGAAGGCTTTGATGCTTAGCGGCCTAGCTCCACTCAAACTTCCTCTTCCTGCCCCAGTGCTGGCTGGGAATTTTCTTTCTAAGAACAAAGATTGGACAGGGCTTGAACTAGCTAAGCCTCAAAGCCTTCTAATCTAGGTCTTTCCCCCGGTATATCACAATGAGGAGATTCTAAGATGCCTGAAAGAGTGGGTAGAACTCTCACAGTGGAGAATTATGGTATGTGTAGTCCTGAAAATCGCATCCCTAGATAGCATGGCCAATAATGAGAGATTTATGGCTTCTCCTGTTCAAAACCATCTGGAGCTCTACAATTTACCCACTAGAACCTCTGTGCATTAAGAGTTTGGATTGTTCTGCTGAAAGTGGAAATCGGTTCTCTTTATTCATTTTAAACTGCCCCATATCTAAAGTTCTCTGGGTATATACAGTGGTGCCCTGCATAGCGACGATAATCCGTGCAGCCAAAATCATCGCTATACGGATTCGTCGCTATGCGAAATAAAAAAGCCCATAGGAATGCATTAAAACCTGTTTCATGCGTTCCTATGGGCAAAAAAATTACCTTTATGCGAAAATCCTCCATACGGCCGCCATTTTTGCTGCCTGGTAAGCAAGGAATGGGCGTGAAAACACAGTGTTCGGCCATTTTTTTACCCGGCAGCCATTTTGGAACCGCCAATCAGCTGTTGGGAAAACATCGTTATGCGAAAATCGGTAAGCAAAACAGCTTACTGATCATCACAAAGCGATATTTTCCCATTAGAAACATCGTTATGCGATCGCAAAAACGACCACAAAAAATCATCGCTATGCAGATTTGTCGTTAAGCGAGGCACCACTGTACAAAGCATGGCAGGTATTAAATACAAACCCTGGGAAAATGGGTAGGAACAGTGCCAATCATGACTACCAGGAAAAATAAAAACAAATTTGCACATAAGAAAAATGAGCTAGGAATTTATACCAGCTCGTAAGCAGAAGAGAGTGCACAAGGAAACCGGGTAAGGCCGCATCTTGGGGCTAACTGGTTGGCTGAGCTGCCTATATGTTTGTTTTGTCTGTTTTTAGCTCTTTGATGGCCACCATGTGCTAGGAGCTGTCTGCCTCGAGCACATGGTGTTGGGGAAGAGGCTGCAGCAGAGAAAGTGGGTGCTGAAAAGCAATGAGTCACTGGCCTACTTAGGAGAGGGCAGTACCTGTCAGGGCCTCAGCTGCACTCAAGAGTCGTGGCAAGCTTATGAGCAACCTGGGTGAACTGGGCAAGTCAACTAGGACATTTTACACAGACAGGGGAGGTCTGCAGTGCCATGCTCCTCCTGCATAGGGCGAGAAACATGGGCAGGAGAATGGCTGCTGCAGTGCCTTGCAATGTCTGCCCCATGCTCATTGTCTTGCCTAGAGAAGCCGAGATCTTACGCATGTGTAACTGGGTTGTTGTCCCGGAAAAGAAGACCTGAGACCTGTTGATTCAGGAGGAGGAGGAGCAAGCATTTTGGAGAATGTCACACAGAAGAGGAAGGTTGTAAGGAAGGATGATATATCCTTGGAGCTATACAACTGGCATTAGATCATCTTAAGTGGATGGTGAATTTGAGCCACTGGAAAAGGTGGAGTGTTTTTAAGTCCTTCTGTTGTACAATGATTCTGAGCTATGGCTCTTTACTAGGCCACTACTTTTCAAGCCTGAAACTATGTCCCAAGAAGAAGGCTGTTTCCCTCTTGTGAAACTCTGAGATGTGGCAGAGCCACTGAGCAGTTATCTCTTCTTTCTGATACGGTGGCTTCTTTGCCCTCCCAGCAAGAGCAGCTCCTGGCAAAACATGGATTGCTTTGACCTCACAGGCCTGGGGTGACAGGAATCACCCTGGTCAGGGGAGCTTTTAAACTGAATCCTGTCAGAGAAAGAGAGATAATATTCCAAAGGACAGGCAGACACCAAATATTGTGGACAAGGACTTCAGCAATGCACCAGAAACTAAGAGAATGGAACAAGGGTCCCGTTAACAGATGGAAAGAGACAGCTGGAACAATGGTTCTAGTTGCAACCATTTTGTTGGCTTCCCAAGGAATATGGGAAGCCAATGAAATGAGCTTGAACTCTTAACACAGGAAGGCAATAGTGATTTCATAGGAAATAACAAAACGTGGTGGGATGAGACATTACTCGAATGTTCTGAAGTGCTAAAAGGAAAAAAATCACACAGGAAGGGCAGAGGAGTACCTTTGGGTGTAAAGGACACGTCACTTGTGATTAGACGGACTACTTAAGATGTTAAGGCTGGTAAGAAGAACATCTGGGTTTAAAAAAATACAAAGGAGAGGGAAACAACATTGGCATTGCTGTGGGAGTCTACCATTGATTTTCACTCCATGCTGAACACTTAGATGATGCCCTCCCAGTTCATTTTACCACCTATTCAGAGAGGAATGATCTACAGTAGCTGTAAAAGGATAGTTATCTTAATATGGATTTGTTCAAAATTCAGCCCTGAATTTAGGGCTGAATTTAGGGCCCAACAACGTTCTCACTTGCCTTATTTTGTCTTCCAGGAGAAATAAGGAAGAAATTACAAGAGAGTCTGATCTAAAAGAGCCAACCCTCTTGTAATTTCTTCCTTATCTTCTAGATCTGACCCTCATGAACAAGGAAGAACCATTCAACTGGATATAGTAACAATTCTGGGTGGAAGTTACCACATCCTCTCAAGATTTGTTGATATGAGGAAAGAAAAACCTAAGAGTAATATAATGCGTACTCTGGACTTCAGCAGAGCTGATTTTAGTAAGTGTAAGAAGAAGGCATGGTGAGAACTATTCAGAGAGAAGGGAAGTTTGCAGTGAATGAGAATTTCCCAAAGACAAGATCTGAAGTGAAGGCATGAATCATCACAAACCATGACAGGAAAAAAAGTGGGAAGCACCTAATAAAGATGGCTGCATAAGGAGTTTTCAGATGAACTGATATTTAAAACAAGCACACATACAGTGGTGCCTCGCATTACGACATTAATTCGTTCCAGCGAAATCGCTGTAGAACGGAAACGCCGTAAAGCGAAAATTAAAAAGCCATTGAAATGCATTAAAACCTGGTTAATGCGTTCCAGTCGGCAAAGAACTCACCGTCCAGCGAAGATCCTCCATAGGGGCAGCCATTTTCGGGTGCCTGTGCAGCGAAAAATGGCTCCTAAACACAGCAGGGAGCCATTTTGAGCACCCGGCGGCCATTTTGAAAACCCGACGATCAGCTGTTTTGATCGTCAGGAAGCGAAAATCGGTTCCCAAAACAGGGAACTGATCATTGTGCAGTGAAATTCCCCCATTCAAAATGTCATTTTGCGATTGCATTTGCGATCGCAAAAACCTCATCGTAATGCAGATTCGTCATTAAATGGAGCACCCGTCTTGCGAGGCACCATTGTATATAGGAAATGGGAAGGGAAAGTCATCAAGGAAAGGTACTAACAAATTGACGATTCTTGTTTGTGTCTTCATACATATATGTGTTAATGGTCAACAGACAGGAGGAAGAGTTCCTCAGTACCTCTCCGAGAACCTCCATGTCCAGGGGCAGGTAACCTGCAAAAACCAATTCCTCAAAAGTAGCAGTAAGAAAGGAATAATCTTCTGAAAACCTGCTGGGGCATTTCCTAGAGACGTTGTGGCTAAACCCTGGTACAGGTGGCCTTCTCATGTGACACAAAAACAGACCCTTTCGTTCTTCCTCAGTAGGCATATGGGCAACATTCTCCCAAAGCAACAGTGACATAGCCATCAACATCCAGATTTGATCCTCTCTTGTGCGTTTAATAAAATTGTCTGCTGAGAGATTGGGCTTCTCTAGAAAAGACAATAACGCTGTGAAAGGTGGAAGGCAGCAGGAAAACCAAATACAAGATGAGCTGATTCCCGAAAGGAAGCCACAGTCTCTAGTTTGTAGGGCTGTTGAGGACAGGGCATTCTGGAGATCGCTCATTCATCAGGTCACCATAAGTCAAGGGCGACTTGACATGACATTACCGAATGACAACAAAAGTAGAGATTCCTGCCTCTTCTTTAAAAATAAATGTTTAAAAGGGCCCAGAAACCAACAATAAAGATTCAGGGCTCTGAACTACAGAAAGCTGGCAATCCATTTCCGTCACTTATAATCTGATACTGTGAGGCAAGGGAGAATCCTTTGCCGCTTTGGGTCCCTTGTTGAGAGAAATGTGGCATCATCATCATCATCATCATCATCATCATCATCATAGTAATAGTAATAGTAATAATAGTAATAATAATCCTTACCAACGGAGGCCAATATGTCATTATTCTCCTCCATGACTTCTGCATTCAAGGTCCTTTTGTCGGGAGCCAGCAGGGCCAAGCTCTCCTCCGTAAAATACACAGCCACTTCCTAAAAGACTACCTGAAAGAAGCAAACATCATGTGCTCACAAATAAGTAACACTAGTTCCATTTCTAAGCAGGATCTAAAAGAAAAACTAAGAGGTAACAGTGAAGGATTTTAATTAAGAAAAACAAAACAAAACCAAGAGTGGGACCAACAAGGAAGGTAATAAGATTTCTGTTTTCAGATCAAGAGAGATTTGCAATTGACGGGAGATAATTCCAGGGCCAAAGCGATGACAAACTTGGACACCTTAAAAAGCAGAGACATCACCTTGCCAACAAAACTCCACACAGTCAATGCTATGGTTTTTCCTGTCGTGATGTATGGAAGCAAGAGCTGGACCACAAAGAAAGCTGACCGCTGAAGAATTGATGGTTTTGAATTGTGGTGCTGGAGGAGACTTCCAGGGGAGTTCCCCTGGACTGCAAGGAGAACAAACCTATCCATTCTGAAGGAAATCAACCCTGAGCGCTCACTGGAAGGACAGATCCTGAAGCTCAGGCTCCACTTTGGGTGTCTCATGAGAAGACTCCCTGGAAAAGACCCTGATGTTGGGAAAGTGTGAAGGTAAGAGGAGAAGGGAACGACAGAGGATGAGATGGTTGGATAGTGTCATTGAAGCTACCAACATGGATTTGACCCAACTCCGGGAGGCAGTGGAAGACAGGAGGGCCTGGCTTGCTCTGGTCCATGGGGTCACGAAGAGTCGGACATGACTTAACAACTAAACAACAATAATTCCACGGCCATCTCCTTCCAGCGATTCCTCATGTCTCCAGTCCAGTTACTCAGAAGGGAAAAGATAAGCAATCCATTCCATGTTTGATTTATCCTTCTGATGATGGGGAGAAATGTCAGGAAGAGTCAGTGTAGTCACACTCTCAAGGACAGGCAAGTGGCGAAGGAGGAGGGAAGGAGCAATAGCATGCCAAAAAAGAAAGAAAGAAAAGAAAAAAAGAAAGTGGGGGAAGAAGTGAGTTTTGGGCAAAGATCTTTTCCAGTCCTGGAAGCTGGCTTCACCTTACTGGAAGCTAGTTATAAAACTAACTAATTAACAAAACAAATACTATATAAGTACAACTGCCGCTGGATTGACCACAGACAGATGTTGATTAGAAAAGCAAATGAATCACTCCTGTTAGATTTGCAAGCAGGGGAACCTGTTAAAATGCAGAGCAATGGACTGAGACGTGCTAGGTGGGAAGAGAGTGGACAGCAGTGTCATGTAGTGGCCAAAGAACTGGAGGCGGCCTTGGGAAATCCAAGTTCAAGTCTCCACTGAGCCACGGCACAGCCTGGACCAGAATCTCTTTGTCAGCCTCACGTCCTTCAAGGGATTATTAGGTTCATGTCCGGGAGCAAGCAAATCGTGAAGGAAGAAGGAGTGAAGGGTGTCACCTCTGAAGCCCCAGAAAGGCCTTTCTATGGGGCAACGGATTTGCTCCCTGAAGGAGGCAGATGAGGTGGGATTTCCCTCAACAACTCTGAATACTGTATCTTTCAACGCAGAAGGTTCAGGCCCAGGCTGGGCTTTGAGTTTTTCCACCTCTTCGTAGCTCTGGGGCGGCGGCGGGGTGTGTGTGTCCCCGGGCAGTCCAAGGCACAAGAGGGGCCTTGGGAGAGGCGAAGACTCACCAAGTTCCCCTTTCTCCCCCTCCCTTACTTTGGGTGGGAAGCCAAAGGCTGTTCTCTCTCTCTATCCCCCCCCATAAGGAGGAGGGCTGAGCGGAGGCTCCGTGTCGGCCTCCGGACCCCCCCCCTTCCCGACCACCCC